CTGAGGTGGCCCAAGCATTGACGGGCATCAGCTTGAAAAACCTATGTCTACAGGGAACTTGACACATATTGCCTAGCGGCCTATAATCCAGCAGAAATTTCCCATTTGAATTTGCGTAAAGTTCAGCTGAGTTTGAATTCGTACACACGTGCGTGGGCGCGAGCGCACACACAATCACACACACAATCACACACACACACACACACACACACACACACAGAGTGAGTCAAAGGTGGCCTAAATAAGCTAAACCCCCCTCCCTTACCTTATTTAGGCCACACCTGTGGCCTAAATAAGCTAAACCCCCCTCCCTTACCTTATTTAGGCCATATGTGGCCTAAATAAGCACTCCCTAAAATCCCTTATAAAATATCTGAACAATTTAGTGTGTCTTTGTTTCAGAAAAAGTTGATTCCAGTAGTTGGAAAAATTTTTTTTAGGTTAGTTTTAGTTTTAGTAGAGGTTTTACGGCACTCGCAACTGCATAAGGTCATATGAGCGCCAGAAGATTAGAGGTGTTACGAAAGAGTAACAAACAAAAAAAATAAGAAGGGGAGATAAGGACAATAGATGTTTGATAGGAAGGAAGAAGCAAACCACACCAGAGCACCCACCAACCACCCACTTGGAAAATTTTGAGAAACCTGAGGTGAAAAATAAAGGAACTTTCTTTTAAGTTTTAGTTAAGACCACACACAGGTTTTTGGGGTACATTTTGGGTCCAAATAGTTTTTTGGGTTTTAAAAAGCTTCCCTTGAAAACTATATGTGTGCTAAATCGAATGGAAGTATTCCCAAAGGTCTATTTCAAAGAGATAGCTCCATAAAGTTTGTAACATTGTGAGCCAATACAATACTCTAAAGCTATTTTGAGATGTTTTGCTCCTTTCCTCAAAATGTTCATTTCTTGGCTTTAAAAGCTAAAGAATCAAAAACCATTCGAGATAAAGACCTGAAATCTGGAGGGTACGTGCACCATGCAATTTTTTAAAAAAGGGCGATAGCTTTTTCTCATTTTTAGAAAAAAAATACTTTTAATGATTTTTTTACTTTGCTATTTTGACTGTTTTCGTCGTTCGCTACACAAGTTGTATAAAAGTAATAAAATTATTAATATTTACAATTTCAAGAAAAGCTAGCGTCGTTTTCTTACGATTTGTGTGCAGATTACAATGTAATTAATTCATTGATAGCATGGACGGTTTTTGAGTTTTAAGCTTTTTGAAAATGGTCCTTGAGATAGCCCGGTTTCACTCTAATTTGCCATTTCTGTGATTGTGTAACTGAATATTTTTTGTCCTTGAATGGAATACTTTGAGAATGAGAAACAAGTAAAAATAACTTAAATATATATGTTAGATTTTGATGCTAAGAAGTAGGGTGTGGCCTTAAGTTCTGACTAAAGTTTCTTTCCTTCCCCCTTCCCATTGCTAGTTGCTAGACTTGTTGACATTTTGAAGATTTTATGAGTTGCCCAGTTGATGAAGATTCGTAAATTTTTATTTTCAGCTGTTTTCAGATACTCATTCTCGTTGAGGTAGAAATGCTGAATATCATTTAGCATCGTGACATTTTTGGGTTGTTTCTTCCCCATCCCCCCCACCCCCAGTTTGAGGAATAAAGATAGTACTTTTTGTTAAAAACTTTTTTTATCCTGATTGTCTCCAGTTGTCTGACTCTGAGATTATCCACAAACTTTGTCTTTGCATCATGCGCATTTTTGTCTCCTCTGCAGAATTTTTCCCGTTCGGAAAATAGCGACGGGTCTACGCCACCTGTGCGGAGGGCAATGAAACGAACGTCCACCAGGGAGGCAGAGTCAGGGGATGGAGAGTCAAGTTGTTCGTCATTTTCTGACTTTGATTCACCGCCTTCTCCTCGATCAGCAAAGTCACGTTCTTACTCGTCAACGAAACGTACCTCCCAATCCCCAAACAGGAGCTCTTCTTTATCAGAAGAACAGGGGCCAGGGAAACGGACTAAATTAGATCCAAAAATGGACAACTACCTCGTGGATATTGCTAGAGAGAAGGAGTCTTATGCGACGATGGTGAAGGATCTGAAACAGATTAAAAACAGTATGACTTCAGCAGCGCCTGAGTCTCGATGGACACACTTTGGTCATTATGTGGCCATGACCCTTGACACCCTTGATCCTGTTGTAGCGACCGCAGCTGCGACTGAGATGCAGGGGACCATTGCCAAATTTGTTGCTGAAAAGTTTTAATGTTCATCTTCCCAACCTCAAGTCACTCTGATGTGTTTGGCAGTGTTGTTTTAGTAGGAATATATGATAAGATATATATGAATATGTGTCACAACGCTGTGGAATCAGGTGCTTGTCATTGTTGAGCATGTGGAGGTTTTTGTATATCATCTTAAAGCTTGTCCATTTGTCTTTGCTTTCGATGAAAAAATGCCCATCTTTCTTGAGTAGAAATCAGAGATATTTGTGATTGAAAGAGGTGGCAGTCGCCTGGTTTTGGAGGTAAAATTAGCGAGAAAATGGCCACCAAAGTTTGGTGATTTTTAGAGTTCTTTGAAACCGAGAATTTACAATTGTGTGCTTTTAATCAACGTTTTTCAGTAAAATCCACACAGAAATGCGTTCTATGGACTAGTTAAACCTGCAAACAAATTGTTGTGTTGAAAAAATGACGGAAATAGGCCTGTTTCTTCGATTTCTGGATTTGGACGAGCGCCTGATGCTTCCTTTTAATCTCTCCTCCAGTGGCGGAGGGTGGACCAAAATTTGGGTGGGGCTTAGGTTGCTTCCAGTTCTTTACCACCAAATAGCAAGCAATAAGAATTAAACTGTGATAATTTTTCTATACTCACGGTGAGCCACGGCAGTTTGAGAATCATTAAAACGAGAAGAGTTGCCTTTGTTTTCCATCTCTTTGTTCTTAGTTAAATTCTTGTTGATGCTGAGGACGAAGCCGATTCGCCTCCAAATTTCCTCTAATTAGTTTTCGTGTGATAAAAAAGTTGCCTTACAAGTAGTTCGACCTGATTTATAACTGTTAAATCTCAGCAGCACAAACACAAACATGCACACACAGCACTTCAAACATAATACTTCTATGAGGTAGATTAGGCCGTGTAGTCGAGGAAGTTGAACGCACCCAACAAAGAACCAATGAGCGCATAGGTATCTGTGTCAGTGGGGGAAAGTGTGTCGTAAATTTTCACCCCATTGTCTGGGCTAGGAGAGCGTGAGCCCTCGGTACTGTGTTATTTTTTCCCAGTCTTCTACCTTTTTACAAGAAGAGTTTCATTAAGGACAGGCTATGGGAAAAGGGCTCATCTTTGCTGAGCCCTAAAGACATTTGATTGGCTGCTGGGTTACTATAGTTGTAAGTGGTGACAACAGTGATTGGATAAGCGAGCAAGCTGCCAAGTTGATCACTCTGTGTTCATTGCGTGCGGTCATAACGGTTTCAACTGCTTATTTCATTATGGAGAAACTTTCATTTACTTTGGGATAGAGATGGGGGTGGTGGGTGGGGAGGGGGTAGGGGCTCAAGCCCGTGAGCCCTTCACTGCCCACCGCCACTGCTCTCCTCTTATTTGTATGTTATTTTCTAGTAACACCTCTTTTATTTGTATGTTATTTTCTAGTAACACCTCTTATCTCACTTGTATTCAGACCTAATTGTGTTGCAAGTGTCATAATTTATGTTATTAAACTCTTTCATGTACTTAACTAAACTGAAGAATGCAGGTAGTGTTTTGGGCAAGTCACTAACAGGCCTTTACTTTTATGGTAGGCCTACAGTAAAATGACCTTACAGTTTAGTGTAAAGTAGGCGACAATTCTCTTCCAATTCTCAAATGCATAATTTCTTTCCTTTTTTTTAACGTAAGCATCACACTCTTATAGACACAATTTAGATCATTTAGGAGGCGAGCTTCAACCCTGCCTGGTAGTGGTGGAGCCACCCAGGACTGCAAGGGCTATTAGTATTACACACACAGCATCCCAGCAGAAAGACCTAAATACATTGATGTAGCCTACTTGATAAAAATTGAACTTGGGTCTCCTAACAAGCAATGGTGACGTGGCTAACCGCTACACCACAGATGCTGTGTTGTACTTTCTTTAATTAAAATGAATAGAAGACATAACGGTAACACAAGCCGTGTCCCTGTAGTGCGAATGAATGAGGGTTTTGACTCGTGTCATGAGTAGAGAGAGGGCATGCAAGAGATGTGTACAACGGTAAAAAGGTTAAAGAAAGCAAGCAGATGAAATTATGTATTCACCTTAGGTGTTCATGGTACCTTTTGTTGTTGTTGCATTTTATTTGAAAAATGGGTGAGCGTGAAAGCAAGATGGGGAAAGGGGCAGACACCATTTACTTTAACCCATTAAGTTGTTGTGTTATAGTGGCTATGTTAACTCTGTAAATTGCAAGTTGACTCTGCGATGATGAATAAAAATGTGTTGAATAACATCATTTATGATGTTACTTTGTGTAAATCACAATAGTAATGTGAGTTGTTATTTTTATCTGGCACGATCATTCAAGCCTACAGTACTTAACTAAATTAAATGATCAACAAAATTGTGTCTATGGAGGATGATTGCCTGAATGGAACCATTTTGAGATTTCCAAAAATGCAGTGACATCAGTGAGTTATCCTGAAATAGCACTAAGTGACAGTAAGTGGGGCAGTACACACTTGGTGGTGGTAGTCGCAGGTGGGAAAACGGTGTTGACCATTGTTTACATTACAGTGGAGTCCACTTATAACGAGTCCTGAAACAACGAGAAGTCTGTTTTAAAGACACCGTTCTAAAACCTCATTTTTTCCCTTCTTTATCTTTGTAAATCAAATACAGTCCGTGCTGGCTTTAATTTAAGCACGCCAGCATAAAGCACGTTTCGGACTCAAGCACGCCAAACAGCTCTTACCGAATTGTTGCTTTAAAAATATAGTATAATATACACGCCTTTAAGCACGATAACTTCGGCTACAGGCATGCTTCATTTACAAGACAGTCAATACTTTCATGATGACTGAAGACCCATCGAAGTTCGAACACAGTCTACTTCCCAGCAGTAGAGTGTGAGTGTGAGTAGTGTAAGAAAAACACAAAGAACGAAAGTGGTGGAGACACACACTCACACGGGAGGAGAGGAAGGCAGAGAGATGCCCCCAGCCGCGCGCATGGACATAGGATCTAATCTAGGGCACAGCTACACACAGACAACAAAAATACAAAGAGAGTCGGGGAGACGAGAAAGGGAGGCTGGCTGCGATTTCAGCTTTGACCCTCGCTATCCATTAATCCTGATTGTGTATGACGAGCGAGGTGGGATGAAGGCGGTGGTATGAATGTGGTACAGCGGGCAGTGGTACGCACAGGCGGTGTGTAGGCCTTGTGTGCTGTATCGTGACTGGCCGTTTAAATTAAGCTTTCATTTCCCAATCGACCACGAAACAAAAACAAATAAGCAAACAAAAACTACCCTGGCGAGTAAAAATAACGGTGCACACTTTTGTGGGACCGCTAGGCCTATTTACAAACAAAGGGAAATAGCACGGGTAATTTTCTACATGAAAATCTCTGGAGTCTACTTCGCACTCAAGCACACTTCGGCATTAAGCACGCTTAAGCTTTCTCCCGATGACCGTGCTTAAAAAAGCCGGCATGGACTGTACTGCTATTGCGCAATCGGACAAACTGAATCTGATTCAGCGTGCCAACGCCACTGGTAGTGCCCAAGAGCGACCCAGATCAGGTCGACCAAGAGCCACTAATGCAAGGGAAGACCGATTCATTCATAGACAAGCTCCGCAGTCGAGATCCGCTCCTGCAAATCGCATCCGGACACGACTGAGAGCGGCAACTCATGTTAACATTAGTTGTCAGACAATACGAAGACGTCTTCATGAGTTTGGACTTAATGCACGTCGACCAGCAGTCCGCCAGCGTCTCACCCCAGCACACAAGGCTGCTCGTCTTGCCTTTTGGCGACGCCAAGTAAGATGGACTCGTCAACAGTGGGAAAACGTTTTCAGCAACGAGTCCCGGTTCTCTTTGCATCACAATGACGGTCGTATCAGGGTTTGGAGGTGACCCGGAGAGCGGCTCCTCGATGGGGCCATCAGAGAAGTGATGCCTTTTGGAGGTGGTTCCGTGATGGTATGGGGTGCTTTCAGTCTGAACCACAGAACACCTCTGTACCAAGTGCAAGGGAATCTCACTGCAATACGTTACGGAGATGAGATACTCCGTCCATTAGCACTACCTACTCTGCAGCAGATGGGGCCACATGCAGTGTACCAGGATGACAACGCCCGACCTCAGAGCGTTGCTTGTCCAAAACTTCATGCAGCAGGCTGGCATCAACCGAATGGACTGGCCGGCCTGCAGTCCGGACTTGAATCCCATAGAAAACCTCTGGGATGAGCTGCAACGTCAAGTCAGAGACAACCACCCCCCCCCCCCCCCCCTCCAGGAGACACGCAGCAACTGTTTCAGATGCTGTAGGCAGAGTGGCAGGGGATGCCTCAGAGAGTGTTCACCAACCTCATGAACTCGATGAGGAGCCGGTGTACTGAGTGCCAGGACAATCGTGGTGGGCATAATCATTATTGAAATCATCTGAACTGTTTTGTTTTTGTTGCAGTCAGAAAATAACTTCGAAACCGCTTGACAATTTTTGGGATTTTCCCCTACCAAACTCAACTTTTCAAGCAAGTTAAAATGGAATAACTTAATTTTCTTTTTTGATACTTGCTATACACATGTTGATTAAAATGTGTATCAAATTTCATTGCGTGTTGAAGTTTGCTTTCGAAGTTATACACTTTTTCTCAAATGTTCCTTAATTTTTGTTGACTCGTTTACTTGCGAGCGCCGTAAAACCTTCTAAAAAAAATAATAACTTCTGAAGCTGCCCACTTTTGGCATAGGTCAAGATTTCTGGAAACCTCAGAAATCTGGTTTAGCCAGCTTGTCCTTTTATTTAAAAGCGGCCGAATTAAATTATTTCCCCTCTCCATTCCTGTGAAACCCGCATCAGTTTTGATGTTGACATTTCTCGTGGCAAAATTGCAATCCGTCGTTAGCACTCATGAGTGTTCAAACATGCATGAAAATATCGCGTTTGGTCGACACGTGGATCCCCTTAAATGTTGTTAAAATAATTATTACATTGTACTTGTGTATGGTTATTATTAACTAGTTTCAGTTGACATAAAATAAATACACCCTTTGCTTGCGTAACATGAAACTTCAGAATGTTTCCCAGGTATTACAGCTTATTCGGAGTGGAAAAGGCAAGAAAGACAGCCACAATTACAACAGGGAGTGTAGGTGTGGGCGTGGGGGGAGGGGGGTGGAAGCAAGATATGCTACTTAGTGCCCTCCAACCGCCCAGGGTAAGAAAACAGAACACACAATTATAGAGCAAACAATCTATTTGGGTTGCAGAGAGACCTGTTCAACGTTATGGTCATTCACGAAATTATGCATGACTTCTCTCTCCTTCTCCTTCCCCCTCTCTCTCTCTCACTCTCTCTCGCTTTAAAATTAAAAAAAACACCCCCCCACACAAAAAAAAACAACAACAACACTCGCAGTCCGCACTTTTGAGTCTCACAGTGAGGTATGATTCAGCATGAGTGTCTGTGCGTGCGTGTGTGTGTGAGTGCGTGCGTGTGTGAGTGTGTGAGTGTGTGAGTGTGTGAGTGTGTGTGTGAGTGTGTGAGTGTGTGAGTGTGTGAGTGTGTGTGTGTGTGTGTGTATG